AGTTGGGAAGTGTAAAACTAGGTGAGACATATGTGGGTATGTAACACTCTAGTAGATTTAGGTCATAGATAAATTAGTCTAAGTCTCTGTAGTGATACGTTAGCATATATGTAAAGGACTTGTTGTAATAAGTATATGTTAATAAAAACAAGAGGCGTGACTTCACCTTAATATTAAAAAAAAAAATAATAATAATATATTTCGCTTTAATATTATATTATTATATATATATAGTATTATTAATTTTATCCTTATTTTTATCATAATTTAATAATTGAGATTTTTTTGAAGCATTGAAGCTTTTGGTTTAGTAATTGATAAGATTATTTTTGAAATACTAATATTTGTCAGAGAAAATTCATATTCTAAGTGCAGAAGTGGTAAACACAAAAACATTATATTAATATTATTTGGTCTGTACGTATTGAATATTGTATTCCAGTATTGGTTAATAATCTGTTATGACCATTTGTTATACCGTTATTATTACATTATGACTATTTTGGTTATATAAAATTTGATATAACCTAAAATAACCAACACTACGTAATGATTCCTGAAATATTTGTTATCGATAGATTTTGGCAGGTGATCTTTAATTAACGATCATATCCTTAAAATAGACCAGGGGTCTAGTTCTAACCCTAAAATTTCTATGCAAATTAAATTTTTTGCAATTTATATAATTGCGATCTGAGAATCTAAACTCCTGGTTTAGATTAAAATTTTTCTTTACGAATTTTATAGTGATGAATAAAACCTATGACGAAACATATACAAAATTTGACAAACGATTTGGTAAAAAAATGAAGCTATAATAATAGTTGAGTATCGTCAAAGGAAAATCTAACTTTAAGCTTTTGAATTTATTATTGATCAGAACCAGTCCTTACAAGATCTGATTAACATCTAATTGGTTTGCCAAATAATTAGAAAATTCTTTATTCATGTGCATAGTACGTTGCTGATTCAATTTACCAATTAGGAATTTTAAAAATTTTGTTAATTATAGGGGTTTCATCAGTCACTATTCAATTAATTTCTAGGAATTTCATCAAAAGAAACTATAATGAAATTTTTCATTATCATGAAAATAATTTTTTAGCCAAATTGAATTGTCAAGGTTTCATCAATTGTTAAGAATTTCATCAATTGTTAAGAATTTTGTTAATTGTTAGGGGTTTTATCAATTGTCATTTTGTTATCAATTGCTAGAGATAAAATATTTGTAATGTAAAAATAATTTCTTCATGTATAATTATTTTTTTTGTCAAATTGATTCATTATTTCATCAGAGATTTTGTTAAAGACTTCATCAATCGCCAGGAGTTTTGTAAATGAAACTATGACGAAATTCTGTTATTATATATGAATGTAAACAATTATGAGTAATAGATAGTAGAGATTAAAAAAACAAATAAATATAAATAGGAGGAAAAAAGTTTAGAAATTGTTAAAATTTTATAGCTTCGCTATTAATAAATAAAAATCGCATACCTTAGTTTTTCTAATAAATTGTTTCTTTAAATTAATAAATAAGTTAGCACATATCAAAATCTTGAATAAATCAAAAATTTATATCCCAATATTATTCTAATTTTAACAATGGTATCTACTTCTAATGCAGGTCTACTTCTAATATGGTGTCTACTTCTAATGCAGCATCTACTTCTAATGCAGCATCTACTTCTAATGTGGCATTTACTTTTAATGAATCTACTTCTAATATGTCATCTTGATTTGGTGCTTCTGAACGTAGATAACTTAATTGACGATTCTCCAGTCAA